GAGGACTCTATATCTGTGGTCATCAAAACCTCCAGTTCTACAATAGGTTCTTTTTCACGCATGCTTGCAGAGCTTAGAGACCTTGTTTTGAATCTGCAGAAGGTGGTCAAACATCTCATCAAAATCTGGTAAAATGGTCTTCCTGCTAACTCTAAATGGGACTTCTAAATATTGAAAGAAAAGGGGAGGACAAATAGCACTAAATTCCATGGAATTTACAGTTAGCCTCAACCTCCCAGGGGTGAAACAATTGCAGTTTGGATTTAAAAAGAAAATGTACTCACCCCATTGAAGAAGCGAATCCAGATTTTCTGGATATTTTGCCTGCTTCATAAGAAGAACTCATGCGAAATGCATCACCTTTCACATCCGATTGAGGAGTTTTTTGACCGGGTGTATTCATATTTGCAATTGCAGCAGATTTAGGCAGAACATAATCAAGGTTAAGGCTATCCTGCTCCCCATGATTGCTAGCAGTCTCATGACTCACATCCTGGGTATGAGAACGTGGATGCTTCACAGTTTCGACAACTTCCTTAATAGAGCCTAATGCCTTCTCCTTCTGACGAGCTGATACATGACCAACACAATAAGTTTATAAATGAAGTAACACTCGCACAAAATTCCAAAATTTGACCAATTATGCTTACCATCATAGCGGATAAGTGACTTGGGCAACCCATTTGGCCTTAGTTCCTTTTCATTCACCCCTTCTGTGTACTTGCTGACTTCAACCTGCATTCTGCAAAAACAAGAAGTAAACTTTTTGCTAGACTACATGCTCTCCCTAAACAACTCACAGAAACAAAAAAGTTGCAAAATTGTTTTGTCAATATCAATGAAAACAAATGAAATTATACATTATACTTAAACACATAAACATGATATGCAAGCTACCCAATTTCAGAGATTGAGAAATGGAGGACACTGACCCAATAAATTTGATGGTTTTTCCTTGTTCATCTTTGATTGGGGTGATGGTGAGAAGATTCCAGAAAGGAGTTCCATCTTTCTTGTAGTTGAAGAGCCTGCCACAGTAGCTTGTCCCATTTTTCACTGCGTCTCGGATTTTCGCCACTTCATCCTGGTCCGTTTCCGGCCCCTGAAGAAATCGGCTGCAGCAACACAAAGATCACAATTTTAGGACACCAAATTCTTTCCCTTCCTTTCGTTCTCTTCTTCTTCTTCGTGGAGCCACACATTGTGGTTAATCGAAACTCAAGAACAAAATGGAAATTGTGAAAGAAGTTGAATAAATTGGGCGATATTGCTACCAAATGAACTGAACTGAAGAAACGAATCTATGCCGCAATTTTTCATATCACCCTAGTATTTATAGCCGCGGTTTGGTTAAAGCTGCAACGGCGGCGTTTTAAAGTTCGAAACCACGTGTTTCATGGTGTAATTGTACTAATGCTATCTTTTTTTTTTATTTTAGCCAGTGTTTATTGGGATTTTTACTAAAAATGAAAATAAAATAAAATAAATTTGTCTGCTAGAATTTGAGGACTTTTTGAAGAGAAATAATGTGCTTGGAATGCTTTTGCAATCACTAGTAATAACAGGTAACACAATTTGACGTGTTATGTTATTAGACTGTTAATAATATAATGACTAACAGGTAACACAATTTGACGTGTTATGTTATCAGACTGTTAATAATATGATGACAAGATATCGAAATATATTACTGGTAAAACAGATAAGACAATGATTAGCCTTACCAATTTCTTCCAATGACCTCCTTTGAAGAATAACCAGTCATACCAAAAAAGCCACTGCTGGCATACATAATTGGGCAATCAGGTTTTGTGGCGTCAGACACAACAAATGTCTGCTGCAGAGTAGACAGAGCTTCCTTCAACTCATTAGAAACCCTAGGAACTCCAAATTCACCCCCCAAATTTGAGTCCTCTGATGTCCTTGTTGATTCAAATCTCCCTGATGAGAAGCTTTTATCTCCACCACCACCTGATGTTCTTGACTCTATGCCTTTGAAGCTACCTTCTCCAATATCTGACTTCATAACCACCCCCCACTCTGCTGTTCTTGCTGCTATGCTTGCCTTCTCTGTTATAATATGACTGTTAGAATTAGAACCAAACCCTCCATTTGAATCAGTGGCTGTGACCTTGTTAGGCTCATCTGAGGGCCCAGGTTCAAATGCCATCCACTTGTTGATGGAATCTCTTCTGGCAGCAGCAGAAGTGAAAGAGGTGCTTCCTGATCCACTTTCTGCTTCTGGAATACCAGCAGCATCAGCATGATTATCTTTTTTAGTGTTCTCTCTCAGGTGGAAAACCTCCATTGGTTTTCTGGTCTGCTTTTCTCCACTTCCCGCTCGGTCCTTGGCAATTGAGCTCACAGCAGAAGGCGGCTTTGGTGGCTGCCTAGTAGCCTTTGGTTTCTCCATGTTGTAATTCTCTCTTCAGTGGATAGAAGAAAACCACCACCTACCATCATTTAAATTTTTCATCAATAGTTGGAAAATGGTCCACATCAAGTTTGGTTCTTGAGCTTGTAAAACATGTAAATCCACCTCACTTTTGCCTCAATTGAGAATGTGTCATCATTAACATATCACTTAACTCAAAAATCCCATACCCCAAAAAATAAAAATAATAAATAATACATAAATAAACCAAGAGAATGTTAAATTACATATTTTTCTGTTGAAATTATGAGTATCTTGTTCAAAGTTTCGAACTTTAGCTACTCTCCAGAAAAAGTTGACCATGAATTGCTATTATTAACTGGAAATTGCATTGGAAACTCAAAAGGGTTGGTTTCACTCAATTACCATAAGGCAGAGAAACATGATGTGCTAGAGAATTTAGCTACAAAAGAAACAACATGGGAAAAGTTTGCATGAAGGGACCTGCTTGAAGGAATTTGATGTCTCAGAATAGCTAGTCTTCAATGCTTTTTGACAGCAAAGAAACCAGCAAAACCCAACCCCCACAAATTGGCAAACATGGTAGATTTGATCAGAATCATCAACACTGAATTACATAATCTGCTTCTGCAATTGTTCCCATCTCATCAGTACCGAGACTTCTCTAATTATTTGTTTCTCTGAGCTTTTTCTGTATATGGGACTAGTACATTGCTGTAAAGATAGGAAGAGAGAGAGAGAGAGAGAGAGAGAGAGAGAGAGCTGCTCAGGTTGCTCAATAAATATGGCCTCCCAAACCATATCAATCGAGCATGCACAAAATGATGAAAGTTACCTTTCAATCAGTGCCTTTGGTTTCTAGGCTTATTGTGTGTACGAATGTGTAGAGACCATTGACTTTTTGCCCATTTATCCGAACTTTTATTTTTATTTTAATGCATTATATTTTGTAAATTTCCACATTTGCTTTCCCTCTTATGGTAAAAGTCTATGAATTTGCTGAGACCTCAATCAATGCTGATGGAACAAGTTTGAAGAGTCATGGGGCCACAAACAACCAGCAGTGAAAGTACTATTCTTGAGGATATATAGATTTCGCCATCACTTTTAAATTTTGTTTTGTAGTTTTGGTGATGTACAAAATGTGTGCATTATAGAATGCCTACGCCAACTAGCTTAGGACCACAGTATAAATACGGGCTTGTAAGCTTCCACGCAAGTACAAAACTTTGTATTCGAGTCCACATAATTAACCGGATTAGCCGATAAAATTTTCATTTTCAGTTGTACTATTTACTCATCCATCTGAATGACGAGGAATTCTTACTTACAATTGAGAATATATTTACATGTGTCTACTGTACTCGTCACTGCACATGAAGATGAATTAAAACATAACTAAAACTCATATTAACAACCTTTTAATTATTTTGATTGCAAATTTTCATTCCAAGGGGTTGCTCCAACTCATACTACTGTTCATCATCATGATCCCAGCAATTGGTGTTGTCTACATATAGTTTGTCAAAGGCTCACATTAAATTCTCACCTTGTCTAGTGTGAAAGAAAGAAAAAGATAATAATGTTTTCTTTTGACTTTTTGGTTTTGATTGTTATAGTTTAATTTTTGTTTGATTTTAACTAAGTTTAATTAGTGTAATGAGACTTTTAGTTTAATTAAACCAAATACAGTTGATTAGATTTTAGTTTAAAAGATGACTAGAGGTTAGTTCTATTTTATTAGAGCTTAATGCTTATATAATGTCAACTTTGATATGAGTTATCACATGCTTGTGCTCTATGATTCTACGGTTACTTATGAGCTCTTTGATTTGAAATTATGAACGAAATTTGATTTCTACGAAAAATATGCGTTATAATATGAATGAATCCTAACATCACGAATTTTAACGGTTTTTTACACCTTTGTGACCACCTCATGTGCAATTCATTTAGCCAAAAATGAAAAAGATAAAAGAGACATGAGAAAAGCTACAGATCTCCACAAATCTTTCTCCAATGTCATTTCCATCAAATTTGGTCGTTCCTTCGGTGAAGATCAAACAACAGCAGAATTCCTGTAGCGATGCTTACCAGCATTACAAACACCCAGAAAAGTCCATGTCTCCATGGGGCAGTCATGGACACGTGCCAACACTTGCAGCCGTATGAGCACTCAAAGATCACGTGAACACGTGTCATTATGTCGGTCTAGAGCTACCAACGTTTTTGTGGTGGTGGCTGTGAGTGGTCTCTCATCCACCAAAACCCAGTTGGGGACCAAGAAAAAGAATCTCCAGAAAAATGAATACAAGCTTTTATTTCTCCCCTCGCTCTCAAGACACTATTTTTTTTCCTTTTTTTTCTTTTTCTAAAATTTTGCAAAGGTAACTTCATTAAAGAAATGGACCCTACAACACAGAGGCCCAAAATACAGAAACAAACTAAAGCCCAAAATCAAAGAGAGACAACAAATTTGTCAAAACCAAGTTCTTATTTTCTAGTTATTTTTGGAATTCAAACTTAGTACCTCTTCATCTACATGAAGTGAGAAAATTCTCAAGATAGTAAGCGTTACGCACAATTTGGAATCGACTAGAGGTGAGAAAATTCTCAAAACTTCATTGATAAAGTATTGATAACATGAACACACTTTGCCGAAACACGATATTTGAGAGTGTAACTAGACTGATTGAGTAAGATGACCTTGCTCCACCAAAGAGGCAATACAATCATCAAACATCTCTTGGATAGTCTTGAACTTGAACCCTAGACTCTTCAACTTTGAGGTGTTCAAATCATACCTTGGCCTGCCTAGTTGCTCAAACCTGAAAACTCCCATGTACACATTAAACTTAATAACAGTTGGTAATCTTCTGTTTTCCAGAAATTTATTTGGAATATTTTACTCAATTTAGTTCCCATGTAGACTAGCTAGGTAGCTATTTGTTGTTTTCACATTAAACTTAATAACAGTTGGTTCCAGAAATTTATTTTGAATCTTTTACTTAATTTAATTCCCATGTAGACTAGCTAGCTAGCTATTTGTTGTTTTTACTACTTATATCTGGGGGAAAAAAAACCTTTTGGGGATAGGTAAGGAAGGATATTGCTTGGATAACAAGGAAGCCAACTCATTGTTGTCCAAAACTGTTGAGCTGCAAAGGTATCGGCCATTAGCACTTTCATGCTCATAAACTAAGATGTGGCAAAGTGCAACATCATCAATGTGAACATATCCCATCCTTCCATGCCACTTGAACTTCTCTGTTTCCCCTGCTTATTTGTTCAAACATATCGGTGCTTAACAATCGTATAAACAAAATTAGTAGTTAAACCAAGAATGAGTACCTTTAAGCAGGCCAAGTACGTCTGATGCAGTAGCACATAAATCTGGTGGCAGACTCTGTCCGATCACGAACGAGGGCAGAACAGTTACCAAATCAATCCCATATTCTTTGCAGAAATCCCATGCTGCCTTCTCAGCTAAAATTTTCGGTAAAGGGTACCAAATCTTTTGTAATAGGTAGGTTAATCAGTCACATGGATTATATATAATGTACATACCATAAGCAAATATGGAGCTTAAGTAATGTTCTAGCATAGATCATTATAGTTCTGTATTGCTTTGCTTTGCAGCTGTCAGAGTTATATATAAAAAGAGCAGCATTCAAAGTTACTTTGAATTCACAAAGGCCATAGGATTTGATGTGAAGTTGGTGATAATCATGACAGAATTTAAACTTCAACAAGGACAGAATGCTACCTGAAGTGTCTTACAGAATTCAACAGAGCTCCATGACGACTCATCCAGTGGTATATTGGAGTCAAAATCCTCATCTGGCCTCACCCTTACAGCTGTAGAAGATGAGGTGAGAACCACACGCCTTAGAGATGGATTTTTCTTGCACGAACGTAGCACATTCAATGTACCCTCAACAGCTGGTTCCAGGATTTCTGTCTGTGCACAGATGACAAATAATAGTTACAACAATACCTCAATTTGTGCGGAGTGGTATTAATTTTAGGCCAATTGTGATCACTTGCAAGATATTTTGTATGCAATTTTGCTAGAATATGAACAAATGATAAGGTGGATCTTTTGTTTGAATATATGATCCACATTGAGAATTTGGTAACCTGGCATCCCAAATATGTGACAAGAAAAAGTTACCCTTAATTTTAAGGACATATATACAATCTCAGAAAATATATGCAAACATGCCTTTGGATCAGATAAAGGTTTCAGTACAGGAGAAGCAGAGTGGAAGACACCATGGCACCCCAAGATTGCATCATCAAAGCTGCCTTCTTCCATTAAATCAGCCTTCACCAATCTGAGCCTTTCCCTAGCTCCTTCCAGCCTCCACAAATGCGCCAATTTCTTCTGGTTTCCTTTGAATGCACGTATAAACCAGATGACCATAGTCTTATAAAACAATATATAAATTCGTCCCATAAAAAGAATGCAATCTCTACTTCATGCAGATTTTAACTTGGGGGTTACCTGGGTCTCTAACAGTTCCAGTTACATGATAGCCAGACAAGAGAAGTCGTTTAATAAGCCAAGATGCCAGAAAGCCAGATGCTCCAGTAACGCACACTTTGCCCGATTCAAGTTTCTGATCCATCCCCTTCGAATCAAGCAGTGCTTCAGTGCACAGAACCCCTTTGGCCACCAGATTTTATAGGGAATGTATACATGTAATAACTGTTGGGGGGTTTCAAGAGTATGAATGGGAGAAGGTAAGCCATTCTATGCTTGTGGTCTAGTAAATCTTATTCTTTATGAAGTAAACAAAGTCAAAAGCAAAAGTGTAATGGTTTAACCTTGAGCTGTGGTTAGAATTAGGCAAGTCAGGCAAAAGTGCTGAAGTCCCATGCCATTCTTGCACCACAAGCTCCATATTGATTCTTTGGTCTAGATTTTCTTGATCCCTCTGATACAATATAACAACGAATCAAAGGAGCAGTCACAGTTTATTTGGAGGCAAACACCACCCTAAAGGCCAACAGGGTCTAGCCCAGTGGAAAAGGGCCTTGATTTGCAGACTAGAGGTCTCATATTTGAAACCCCCTCCTCTATAGTTTAGACTATCGCTTGTACTAAAATATAAAATAAAACCACCCTAAAGATTGGCCAAAGTTACCTATTAACCAATGAAATTCTGTGTAGTTGAATGAGTGTTCCTAAACTCCCCAACTGGTCATTAATGCCAAGGCTCCTCTCTAGAGAGAGGCTACAATGAGGAGTTTAAAGTGATGAGGCTATTTGAGGAGACCAATCTTACCATCAAAACATTAAAAATGTTTTAAGTTCCCTGATTTCTTTACATTTGTTGATGGTGAGATTGATCTCCTCAAATAGCCTCCTCACTTTAAACTCCTCATTATAGCCTCTTCGTCCTCTCTAATCTGGGTTTCACAGCTGTCCTCAAGACCGCACTCATCAACCCAATAAGTAATTTCAAGCCCCATTGCCCTAAAACGCCAGGTTCCTATTTTCTAGGTTCATTGTTCGCTGAAATGCAGTCCATTTATTTATTGGGCCGTACACTTCTAAAGACCTTTTGTTTGTTTGTTTTTCACTGAAAAAGTCGTTTTTGTTGTGAATCCAAAGATGGGTGCCCACCATTCCTACTACATCTTCCTCCCTAGATATGCCTACCAAATGTGTATGTAAACCTACCAAACCTAAGCATGATATGGTAGTAATTTTTATGTATTTTCCTATGCCTATAAATAGGCCTCTAAGATTAATGAGAAAGCAGAACAAGAAGAAGAAAAACAAGCCTAGAGAATTTCTATGGCTCTCTATCTATACTCTCTTAAACTCTCTCTCAATTCTCTTAGTTTTATAATACGTGATCAGCACGAATTCGCTTTCAAAATACTAGCTGAATTCTCTGATCAAACCCCCCTGCTTAATCACCTTTCTATCTCAAGTCTTAGCTACTAATCTCTGCAACTGCAGCAGATGATATAGTCTTCTCTTAAAATATCTACAGACATACAACTTACAAGAAAAGAAAGGGACACATAATCCAGATAAACACACATCACCGTTTCATTCTCTACCTATCATGAAACCACAAAAGCCATACTTCTACCAAAGAGAGACTTACCAGGGATGAAGACTGAAGCATTGGTGGAACTGTGGTCTGCTCAAGAGGGAGATGCTAACTGAAAGGGCCAAGGCACAAAACAAGGAAAAAGAATTCTTGCTGACTATCTAAGAGATAAGTCCTCCACTTATCTTTATTTTGATAGTTTATTACATTATTATATCTATAATATTAGAGGGGTGATTTCTCCACTCCTTTTTCTCATATTTTATCCACTTACACTCCTTTTTTATAACTAAAAAAGGAGTGTAAGTGGATAAAATAGGAGTGGGGAAATCATTGCCCTAATATTATATATTCATATTGATCATAAAAAGCAAGTAATGGTGTACAGGAGGAGCTTGTGCAGATTCATCCACTTTGTTTATGAAATTATCGCCTCAAGGAGGATGCGTGATATCCTGCACAAAGATCAGAACCCACCAAAAAAAAAAGGTGGAAATGTTGTAAAGTCGAGAATGGAGCCGAAAATGGTAGAGCCCACTACCTAATGAGTTGCATAGTTTTTACATATGGATAAATATAAGGGTGATTTTATTGGCACCCCATTATTTGCTCTTTACATCCCATATTAATTTTAAATATAAATAACCTATTTTACCTTTGTACACAATTACCGTTAAGGATAAAAAAATTTAAAATTAAAATTAAAATTGCTCACTACACCTCACATATGTTCCTGCAACCCTAGTTTGACTTTTTTCTCAAACTATCATGTTCCTAAACCCTAAACCATAAACCCTAGATTTATAAGTTTATACTGGTGAAAAAATATCTTGTATTTATTCATGAAGGGTGAGATTGAAGTTAGAGAGGCTTCGAATGAGGTACAAGTTTATTTTGTGGCGTTTTGCAAGTTTAGTATTTCATAACGGTCGCTGGTTGCATTCAGTACATCAGTACCGAACGCGATAGGTAAATTCGGTGGGATGCCACCGAAACGTTGCACAGTTTTCGGTTGGGTTTGACCGGTCAGCAACTTAATATTCAATGGAGATCTACTGTAAGATAGAACGTAGTTCAGTGGTTTACTACCGAATTTTTACCTGCGTTTCAATGGCATCCAACCGAAATTTATTTATTTTTCAGTAACTTATTGCCGACCACAAATATAATCCAAGCTATTTTGATCTTACTTCCATTGAAGGAACAAAATCAAGGCAACAATGTGGGAACAGAATGTGTAATGGACTATAGTGATCAATTAACAACTTATTCGGAAAAATTATTTGTCTGAAATCCTTTTTAGTATCATTAACGTGTCATTAATGTTTCAAATTTTATATTTAAATAATATGAGTTTTATGTGTAGATATTCAATGGTAGAGATGCATTACTTCAATGGGCTCGTGAACAAGGAAAATGTGTCTGAAACATTGGAAAATCGCGCCCGTAACCGCGACAAACTCACATACTCATCACTGTATTGGTGCAATTGTTCAGTAGCCTCTTCATCAGTCACTCATAAGTACTTAACTAACAACTCAAAATTTGTGTCGTCGTCATCTCCAAGAGGAGCAACCGCTGCACCAGACACAAGAATGCCTAAAAGAGATTACACATCATCCAATGTGATGGTCATCTCACCAAAAGGTATGTGAAAGGTGTTCGTTTCGGAATGCCACCTCTCAACAAATATAGATACCACATCTTATCAGCATTCATATAAGAACACCTAATAAGTTGCTCTAATCCAGACCTCTGAATATACCCTTTGAATATACCATTATTTGGATTACCCCACTAATTCCACTCACAAAGGGTAGATGTTTTCGACATACACCTAAGGGGCTCATGTTCCTAGTTAAACAAAAAAACAAAATTAAGGTTAATTACCATGAACCAGACTTATATTCTACCTTCTATTGTCACAGTAAAATGACTTACCTGGTTATTCCAAATTGCAGTTGCTATGTGAGTTTTAAAACTCGTAAGTAAAGATGGATCAATGAGACCTACTCAGATGGCTCAATAGGCTCGGCATGTACCTCAACATTACTATCCTAAGTAGCAGCTACATCTTCAACCTCTGTGTTAACATTACTACCATGAGTAGGAACTACATCTTCAACCTTTGTAGTATCCTCAAAGTGATCTTGAGGAGCCGCTCTGTGTCTTCTCGTTGAGGCCGTGGGACGCTGTCTATTAGGTCGGGATGATGAAGCCTCAGTAGTACCTTTGCGAGTCCTCTTCATATCTAAAAACAAACAATATTAAGTACACACTCAGTAACGTATTCAGTAGATGATCACTGAAAAAAGGAAATAAATTCGGTGGACTATCACTAAAAAAAGAACACATATTCGGTAGAATACCACTGAAAAACCGAAATAAATTCGATGGGAGTCTCCTAAAAAATAGAAACAGATTCGGTGGACAACCACCGAAACAAGGTAACAATTTGGTGGTAACCCACCGAAAGTAAAATAAATTTTCATACAACTCAGGTTCAAATTCAGTGGACTACCACTAAATCAATGTAACCATTTCGGTGGTAATCCACCGAAACTAGAATCCAGTTTCGTAAAACCAAGTTCGAACCATACACAACGTTGAAATCAAAATCAAAATCAGACGACCAAACTGCCACAAATAACTAAGATTTCTTGGGCTTCGATAGTCTTACCAGAACCACGTGGTAAGAAGTCCTTCCCAACAATGCTCTCCAAGGCAGAAGACTTCCCTCAACTCTGCACGACAGAACAAAAATATAAGCAAACATTATATATTAGCATCATAATAGATTCAGTACTTCAACCAATTCTTCTAAAATTCGTTATCATATTCCAGAAGTTTTGTTTCTTTTTTTTCCCAATTAGCAAGCATGTTCCACTTAGCGTAGATAAGAGAAGGTAAGTTACAGAGTAGATAAAAAGAAACAACAAACAAAGTTCATATACTCGGATCGATGAGAGAGATAAGAGAAGGTAAGGGATCGAAAGCGGACCTGGCCACCGATGAAGGCGATGGGGGTTTGCTGGGTTGTGCGATGGGTCTTTGCAAAGGGATGGGTTCTACGACGGGGTGTATTTGCAAGAGGAGGGAATTTTCGATGGGGTGGGGCTTGATATCAGATGGGGTGGGGTTTGATTTTAGATGGGGTGTGTTGAAAGGGAATGAGGTTTTCGGTGGGTGGTGTTTGATATGGAATGAGGTTTACACAGTGAGTTAGGGAATGGGGTTTATGAGGGCAATTTTGGAAAAAAAAAGAGAGGGTATAATGAGTAATTTGAAATTTTATTAAAATTTAGTGGGGTGTAAAGAGCAATTAATGGGGTTCATATAGAATTACCCTATATATAAATGTGTATATGTATAAAACTAGAACCACGATTACTTCTGTCCATTATATATATATATATATATATATATTTATGACTGACATTCATATGAAAGGATTGGTTACACTCTATGTAATTTTTTTTATAGAATCATAGAGAAACCCTATATGCAATTGACTTTATAAACACATCATATCTTACATAAATTAGATTTTATAAATACACCCTATTATTGCCAGCTATCTTTTTTTGGGTTTACTTAATATTTGATTTTCGGGTTTACCCTTTGGTGTTGAATTCATATTTTTTTAAAAGTAATCCTACACTTACCACATTTTTATCCCACATTTCTATACCACATGATGTGGCATGTCCATATTATATGTCACATCAATTAAATCAATGAAGTGTATTTTAATTAAGACAATTAGAAAAACAAATACTGGAATAAATCATAAAAGAAAAGAAAATCTTAAATAATTTTAATTGATGTAGATGTCCACCTCAGCTACCACATAAGATGGTATAGGAATGTGGTATACAAATGTGGCGTCTCTCTCTACCCTCAACTCTTTCTCTCTGTCTTGTCTCTCTTCCTTGTGGAAACTAGGCTGACGAGTTTTGGCCGGCGATCTTGGTATTCTGGCCATATCTAGACGGGTGACAAGTCGGAGAATTACCAGAGGAAGCTGACAAACCACTCTTGATCCCAGCCCCTGCGAGCCCAGCCTTTCTGGGCTATCTCGAACTCCAGGAACCTTCGAGGGTTTCGAGTTTTCCGACACCGTTTTCGTCTGCTCCGGCTACCGTTGTTGTTGATCCATGTATGGATTTCCATCCTATCTTCATGCTCTTGCTGATGGTATAGTTATTTGGGATCAATTTTAGCTTTTGAGAGCTTGAAAACTCTGTCGTTTCACTTCATGCCTTGCATTCAGCTCTTTGGTTGCTGGACTCTGAATTCTGAAATGGTGTGAAAGCTTGTTGAGCTGAAACAGTTGATTATTTGAGCTTTAGCTTCAATCAAAAGGTACATAGCAAAATGGCTATTGGCGGTTTGATCTCGAACTTGAATTTCGGTTCTTTTATCGGCTCAGGTACTGTTGCTTCACTATTTTATCCTGATGTTTTTGTTCTTATTAGTTTTTGGTGTTTTAATTTTGTTGCGTTTTGTGAATTGTAGCTTCTCAGTGGAATTAATGCATGCATGTGGTTTGAATTTTATAATTTTATTTTCGAATTGCCATTTTGTGAGCTGAAAGAATTTGTTTATTTGGTTGCATGTTGCTTCTCTTGCTTTGCATTATCATCTAGTTATATTGGTAAATTTTCGATTGCAAATTGTTGATTTTGCTGTTGAATTTTTCAGAAAATTTAGTAATGTAAGATCTCATATCGACCAACAGAGAGGGGGTGATGTGCCTTATATGTACATGACCGCCTCCATTTAGCAAGAAACCTTTTGGGAGCTCACTGGCTTCAGAGTCATAGGAACTCCAAAGTTAAGCGAGTTGGGGCTAGAATCCCAGGATGGGTGACCCATTGAGAAGTTGCTCGCGAGTTCTCAAAAACAAAACCATAAGGGTAGAGAGGGGGGCCCAAAGCGGACAATATCATGCTACGGCGTAGCCGATTCCGGGATGTGACAAGTAATTTAAGCCAAGTCTACCTTTAATTCAACAATTCACCAATCAGTATGTATGTATGAATATATTTACTGAGCAATTTGGAGTTGAGCGTGACCAAGTCTACTTTTAATCCATAGATAATCTTATAGAATATCTGGAGTCGTATAAGTTAAGATTCATTTAATGATATCCTTTATTTCATAGAAATTGGGGCAGTAGAATAAAAAACCAACCGATCTAACTTTCAGGCTATATATATATATGCATGTATGTATGAATATATGTACTGAGCAATTTTAGGAATGCTTTTATCTCTTTGAGTTCATTAATTACTTGCTTAATTTAGCTGAAAAAATTTAGACAATTTATATGTCAAATTGGAAATAGATGGAGGGATGGACAATTTGGGAATGCTTGTCAACATAACTTATTATCTTCATTTTGATGCTTCTTAGGCGATTTCCTGTTACTATTTGTAATTCTTTGATATTGGCAGGAAAAGTATGTCAAACAAACCACGCTGTTGTGATTCCCTTGTTACTATCTTCATGCATGGACTGCCAAAAAGTCGTTATGAATTTTCATCATCGTTAACTGTTTCACTTGCAGTGTTACTGGCTTTGGCAGTTTCCTCGAGGAATTCGTTTTGGTATTCAGGTTCTTTTGGACTCTCCTTGATGATGTCTTCTGAGCCAATTTCAGGATATACTTCGAATATATCAGAATTTCCTACTTCCGGCAAGTGTGTCTCACTATTTGTGTGATAAGTGGAGTGCAGGGGCCTTAATTGCCTTCTTCGCTACTTAAAGTCCATCTTTTTCTTCATGATCATCTGTCATAGATGTCTTTTGTACCTTGTCCTCAGCGCACTCTTTAGCTTCCAAGGTTGCTTCATCATTTGGAATGTCAGGACTTGCAACTATTGTTGAGATAGAGTCATCATTTGTGCTTTTATCATTGTTGAGTATTGATTTTGAGTGGTATTGAGTTGTACATTTTTATCGTACTTATTATGCAAATGAAATGATGTAGTTGTTAACTTCTAGTAAGTGGTATGAATAGTTGTTATATTGTTCATACCCTGCAACTGAGTTGATTTCTATAACATAGTATTAACAGATTTTCAGTAACAAAACATGCACTGCATTTTGCTCTATATATAGTTGAGCACTTGAAGTTTATGATATGCATAATGTGATTTTTACTAAGAAGATAGTTCTATGACATAGTATTAACAGTATATATTTTTTTTCTTTTCTTGTAGAGGTATTTCTTTTTGCCTTTGCGATTGTTTCTAGTGAAACTATGAACAATTAAAGGTGGTTTATGCACAGGATATCAAATGTCTTGCTGGGTTTTTTTGGGTTTTTTATATATAGTTTTTTGTATGAAATAGTAGCAATGTACTTCTATAACATGGTATTAACAATGTACTTCTATGATATGATATTAACAATGTACTTCGAGCTTGCTGGGCTTGTTTTGTGTTTTTTTTTTAGTTTTTGTGTTGGGGTTGTTTTAAGTTAATCAATGACAGTCATGTAATTTATAGGAACTTCAACACTCAATTCTTATATAATAAATGGTTTTTGGGTATATTTCTATAGTGCATTCCATATGGGGGTTTATTTATTTATTTTTTATTATATAATTTTAGCCCATATTTTGGGTATACTACTAAAGCTCCCCATTTTTTTATTTTTTTTTATTTTTATGATGGAGCTATAAAAAAAACACACACAAAAGGAGGGGGGGTTGAGACCCAAAGATCTTGATCTTCAATATATAATAAAGGGCCAACAGTTCCTAAATTCATGAAAAAAGGCCAAAAGATACTTTTTCTATTAGGTGGCGGTTTTATCCCCACATTTATTTATTTATATTTAAAGTATGAAGTATAATTAGTACTCATACAAGCATATTTACCTTTATTTAAAGTATGCAGAAGGTTTATCGTCCATACTAGCAATTTATTTACAAACAATTTATAGCAATTTATTTTATGAATTAATTGTGCATTAACAGCATATACATATCAGGACCAAAAGTTCCTTAATCCTCATCATACAACTACATCAAGACATAAAGATCACTGATGATGATAATGATAATAATATGAGAGATGACAGTTTCTCCGGAACTATATTTGCAAAAAAGTAATTGGACCTGAAGATCCTCGACATATAAACCAGGACCTGAAGCTCCTTGATAATGTAATGGTGTCGTGCACATGAATAGTAAATATACTGGCAAATGTATTATACATGAATAGTAACCAATTTGGGTGAACCATTACTACATACAAAAAGGGACCTGCAGTTACTAAAAATATGACATGAAGTTCAAACATCTCAATTATGTCCAAAACCAGAAGTTTTGAGAACATTTACACAAGGAGCTTATACTTATAGTGTAATAATATAATCAAAGACCAAATTACTAGCTTTTTGCTAGCCTTGGACTAAAAACAGAATAAACAAAATGATTGAAAACGACACAACTTTTTTTAGTGCCCAAGATTCGGCATTCAGCTTCCTTTTTCAGGCTTGATTGTGAAAGGAAAGGAATTATAGTAAATCTAATTGTTAAATCGCTTAATTTTTGCAGCAAAATCATCTCCCCTTCAATCAGTGGCTTGTGGAGTTTTCGCGGCAAGCTATTGGAGAAAGGGATATATATATTCATATACTTTTAGTACATCTTTTGTCTTCTGATATGAGCCACAAGGAGACGTATAATTTATTTGTGATAGAAACAAGCAAACCCCCATGAAAATAAATAAAATTAGAAAGACATGAGAGACAAACAACTTTTTTTATTATTATCAAAATGAGAACTTTCATTCATAAAGAAGCGACGTCAATATAACCAGAGCTCTGACTTCTCTACAAAGTGGCCTCATTAAAATCTTATCATAAAAACCCCAAATAGAAGAAATCCGGTTAAAAAGAGGGACAAACAACTTTTCTTTTGCTTTTAAGAGGAAGAAAAAAAACCAAGGGTCTTATTCTCAAATAATTAATATTGATTGATGGATGCCTACATGCCCCACATCGCATGTTGATAAAGAAAGAAATGCCAGCAGCCGTTGTCCCAAACTGGTAATTGATGCAGCATACCGCACGCTAGCAATCAGAGAGTCATTGACAGCACCACTGTCTGATCTCACTGCTAACAGTATTTGTTCATGGAGAGCAGTATTCAAATCCAAATAATTTTGGGGATAGGAAGACATTTTTGCACACGTTCCGGTATTCGTTCCGACCTTTGAGATGAATTTACTCTTTAAGTAGTGGCAGAAAGTAAGGAATTACTCTACTGAGATGAATGAGCTGTGCATTGTAAGCATCATATATATTAGGAGGTAAACACCTGACAACCATCCTCATTATTTGAATTTGAGTTTTATAATACTCCATTGTTGTTGCTTTCAAAACAAAGGATGAGATACCTACCTGAATTCTCTCAACAGCACTTAGCGTAAGTATTTTTTTCATTTTTTTTTTCTAAAATTTTGCAAAGGTAACTTCATTAAAGAAATGGACCCTACAACATTTTGGCCCAAAATATATAAACAAACTAAAGCCCAATATCAAAGAGAGAAAAAAATTGTCAAAACCAAGTTTTTATTTTCTAGTTATTTTTGGAATTCAAACTTGGTATCTCTTCATCTACACGAAGTGAGAAAATTCTCAAGATAGTAAGCGCTACGCATAATTTGGAATCAACTAGAGGTGAGAAAATTCTCAAAACTTTATTGATAAAGTATTGATAACATGAACTCGAACTTTGTCGGAACACGATATTTGAGAGAGTGTAACTAGAGAGTAAGATGACCTTGCTCAACCAAAGAGGCAATACAATCATCAAACATCTCTTGGATAGTCTTGAACTTGAACCCTAGACTCTTCAACTTTGAGGTGTTCAAATCATACCTTGGCCTGCCCAGTTGCTCAAACCTGAAAATTCCCATGTACACATTAATCTTAATAACAGTTCGTAATCTTCTGTTTTCCATAAAATTATTTTCAATCTTTTACTTAATTTAATTCCCTTGTAGACTAGCTTAGCTATCTATTTGTTGTTTTTACTACTTATATTTGGGGAAAAAAAAAAAATCAAACCTTTTGGGGATAGGTAAGGAAGGATATTGCTTGGATAACAAGGAAGCCAACTCATTGTTGTCCAAAACTGTTGAGCTGCAAAGGTATCGACCATGAGCACTTTCATGCTCATAAACTGAGATGTGGCAAAGTGCAACATCATCAATGTGAACATATCCCATCCTTCCATGCCACTTGAACTTCTCTGTTTCCCCTGCTTCATTGTTCAAACAAATCGGTGCTTAACAATCATATAAACGGAATTAGTAGTTAAACCAAGAATGAGCACCTTTAAGCAGGCCAAGTACGTCTGATGCAGTAGAACATAAATCTGGTGGCAGACAAGGTCCGATCACGAACGAGGGCAGAACAGTTACCAAATCAATCCCATTTTCTTTGCAGAAATCCCATGCTGCCTTCTCAGCTAAAATTTTCGATAAAGGGTACCAAATCTTTTGTAACAGGCAGGTTAATCAGTCACATGGATTATATATAATGTACATACCATAACCAAATATGGAGCTTAAGTAATGTTCTAGAATAGATCATTATAGTTCTGCATTGCTTTGCTTTGAAGCTGTTAGAATTAGATATAAAAAGAGCAGAATTCAAAGTTACTTTGAATTCACAAAGGCCATAGGATTTGATGTGAATTTGGTGATGATCATGACAGAATTTAAACTTCAACAAGGACAGAATGCTACCTGAAGTGTCTCGCAGAGTTCTACAGAGCTCCACGATGACTCATCCAGTGGTATATTGGAGTCGAAATCCTCATCTGGCCTCACCCTTACAGCTGAAGAAGATGAGGTGAGAACCACACGCCTTAGAGACGGATTTTTCTTGCACGAACGTAGCACATTCAATGTACCCTCAACAGCTGGTTCCAGGATTTCTGTCTGTGCACAGATGACACATACTAGTTACAACAATACTCAATTTGTGTGAGTGGTATTAATTTTAGGCCAATTGTGATCACTTGCCAGATATTTGTTATGCAATTTTGCTAGAATATGAACAAATGATAACGTGGATCTTTTGTTTGAATATATGATCCACATTGAGAATTTGGCAACATGGCATCCCAAATATGTGACAAGAAAAAGTTACACTTAATTTTAAGGACATAATATATTCAAACATGCCTTTGGATCAGATGAAGGTTTCAGTACAGGGTTCCCCTGCTTCATTGTTCAAACAAATCGGTGCTTAACAATCATATAAACGGAATTAGTAGTTAAACCAAGAATGAGCACCTTTAAGCAGGCCAAGTACGTCTGATGCAGTAGAACATAAATCTGGTGGCAGACAAGGTCCGATCACGAACGAGGGCAGAACAGTTACCAAATCAATCCCATATTCTTTGCAGAAATCCCATGCTGCCTTCTCAGCTAAAATTTTCGATAAAGGGTACCAAATCTTTTGTAACAGGCAGGTTAATCAGTCACATGGATTATATATAATGTACATACCATAACCAAATATGGAGCTTAAGTAATGTTCTAGAATAGATCATTATAGTTCTGCATTGCTTTGCTTTGAAGCTGTTAGAATTAGATATAAAAAGAGCAGAATTCAAAGTTACTTTGAATTCACAAAGGCCATAGGATTTGATGTGAATTTGGTGATGATCATGACAGAATTTAAACTTCAACAAGGACAGAATGCTACCTGAAGTGTCTCGCAGAGTTCTACAGAGCTCCACGATGACTCATCCAGTGGTATATTGGAGTCGAAATCCTCATCTGGCCTCACCCTTACAGCTGTAGAAGATGAGGTGAGAACCACACGCCTTAGAGATGGATTTTTCTTGCACGAACGTAGCACATTCAATGTACCCTCAACAGCTGGTTCCAGGATTTCTGTCTGTGCACAGATGACACATACTAGTTACAACAATACTCAATTTGTGTGAGTGGTATTAATTTTAGGCCAATTGTGATCACTTGCCAGATATTTGTTATGCAATTTTGCTAGAATATGAACAAATGATAACGTGGATCTTTTGTTTGAATATATGATCCACATTGAGAATTTGGCAACATGGCATCCCAAATATGTGACAAGAAAAAGTTACACTTAATTTTAAGGACATAATATATTCAAACATGCCTTTGGATCAGATGAAGGTTTCAGTACAGGGGAAGCAGAGTGGAAGACACCATGGCACCCCAAGATTGCATCATCAAAGCTGCCTTCTTCCATTAAATCAGCCTTCACCAATCTGAGCCTTTCCTTAGCTCCTTCCAGCCTCCACAAATGCGCCAATTTCTTCTGGTTTCCTTTGAATGCATGTATAAACCAGATGACCATAGTCTTATAAAACAATATATAAATTTGTCCCATAAAAAGAATGCAATCTCTACTTCATGCAGATTTTAACTTGGGGGTTACCTGGGTCTCTAACAGTTCCAGTTACATGATTGCCAGACAAGAGAAGTCGTTTAATAAGCCAAGATGCCAGAAAGCCAGATGCCCCAGTAACGCATACTTTGCCCGATTCAAGTTTCTGATCCATCCCCTTCAAATGAAGCAGTGATTCAGTGCACAGAACCCCTTTGGCCACCAGATTTTATAAGGAATGTATACATGTAATAACTGTTGGGGGTTCCAAGAGTATGAATGGGAGAAGGTAAGCCATCCTATGCTTGTGGTCTAGTAAATCTTATTCTTTGTGAAGTAAACAAAGTCAAAAGCAAAAGTGTAATGGTTTAACCTTGAGCTGTGGTTAGAATTAGGCAAGTCAGGCAAAAGTGCTGAAGTCCCATGCCATTCTTGCACCACAAGCTCCATATTAATTCTTTGGTCTAGATTTTTGTGATCCCTCTGATACAATATAACAATGAATCAAAGAGAGCAATCACAGCTTATTTAGAGGCAAACACCACCCTAAAGGCCAACGGGGTCTAGCCCATTGGAAAGGGGCCTTGATTTGCAGACTAAAGGTCTCATATTCGAAACCCCCTCCTCTATAGTTTAGACTATCACTTGTACTAAAAATAAATAAAACCACCTAATGATTGGCCAAAGTTTCCTATTAACCAATGAAATTCTGTGTAGTTTGAATGAGTGACCTACTCTTCCTACACTCCCCAACTAGTCATTAATGCAAAGGCTCTTCTCTAGAGAGAGGCTACAATGAGGAGTTTAAAGTGATGAGGCTATTTGAGGAGACCAATCCTACAATCAAAACATTTAAAATGTTTAAGTCCCATGATTTTTTTTACATTTGTTGATGGTGAGATTGACCTCCTCAAATAGCCTCCTCGCTTTAAACTCCTCATTATAGCCTCTTCATCCTCTCTAATATGGGTTTCACATTTGTCCTCAAGACCGCACTCATCAACCCAAGAAGTAATTTCAAGCCTCAATGCCCTAAAACGCCAGGTTCCTATTTTTTAGATCCATTGTTCCCTGAAATGTAGTCCATTTATTTATTGGGCCGGACACTTCTAAAGACCTTTTCTTTGTTTGTTTTTCACTGAAAAAGTCGTTTTTGTTGTAAATCCAAAGATGGGTGCCCACCAACTGTGTATGTAAACCTACCAAACCTAAGCATGATATGGTAGTAATTTTTATGTATTTTCCTATGCCTATAAATAGGCCTCTAAGATTAATGAGAAAGCAGAACAAGAAGAAGAAAAACAAGCCTAGAGAATTTCTATGGCTCTCTATCTATACTCTCTTAAACTCTCTCTCAATTCTCTTAGTTTTATAATACGTGATCTGCACGAATACGCTTTCAAAATACTAGCTGAATTCTCTGATCAAACCCCCCTGCTTAATTACCTTTCTATCTCAAGTCTTAGCAAGTAATCTCTGCAACTGCAGCAGATGATATAGTCCTCTCTTAAAATATCTACAGACATACAACTTACAAGAAAAGAGAGGGTTAAAGAACACACAATCCAGATAAACACATTGTTTCATTCTCTACCTCTCATGAAACCACCACACAAAAGCCATACTTCTTCCAAAGAGAGACTTACCAGGGATGGAGACTGAAGCATTGGTGGAGAACTGTGGTCTGCTCAAGAGGGAGATGCTACTGAAAGGGCCAAGGCACAAAACAAGGAAAAATAATTCTTGCCGACTGTCTCAGAGATAAGTCCTCCACTTGTCTTTATCTTGATAGTTTATTACATTATTATACCTATAATATTATATATTCATATTGATCATAAAAAGCGAGTAATGGTGTGCTGGAGGAGCTTGTGCAGATTCATCCACTTTGTTTATGAAATTATTGCTTCAAGGAGGATGCGTGATATCCTGCACAAAGATGAATGATAAATATATAGTATTCTATTGCATCTTGGTGTTGATCAGAACCCACCAGAAAAACAGGGTGGAAAAGCTTTCTGCAGCTTTTGATACGACTGCCAGAAGCTTTCAGGCGATACTTGTATTCTATATATTAATATAACGATAATATATAATCTTACTTTATATAATGAGGATGGTGATTTTTCCATTCCTTTTTATTTTTTAATATTTTTTACGATAAGATAAAAGGGAATGTAAGTAAAAAAAAAAAGTGAGAACATACAATTTTAAAAAAATAGAGTGTAAATGAACAAAAGATGAGTGAAAACATACAATTTTAAAAAAAATAGAGTGTTTATGACTGACATTCATATGAAAGGATTGGTTACACTCTATGGAATTTTCTTTTTATACATAGCTATAAAGAAACTCATTTTTAGTTATAGAATCATAGAAAAATCATACATGAAACTGACTTTATAACACATCATCTCTTATATGAAATAGACTTTATAAATACACCATATTATTGCTAGCTATTTTTTTTGGGTTTACTTAATATTTGATTTCTGAGTTTACCCTTTGGTGATGAATTCATATTTAAAAAATCTGGTGCGTCTTCCTCCACCCCCGACTCTTTCTCTCTATCTCGTCTCTCGTTCTTCACGGAAACTAGGTCGGCCAGTTTTTGCTGGTGATCTTGGTGCTCCGGCCACGGCTAGATGAGTGACTGGTCGAAAAATTAGCAGAGGAGGTCGGCGAACCATGCTTGAGCCCAACCTCGGCCAACCCAACCTCTCTGGGCTGTCACAAGCTCCAGGAACCTTCGAGGGTTTCAAATTCCGATATTGTTTTTGACGGCTTTGGAGACCATTCTTGTCGATCCAGGTATGGATTTCAATCCTCTTCTCATGCTCTTGCTGATAGTATAGTTATTTGGGGATCAATGTAAGCTTTTGAGAGCTTGAAAACGTTGTCATTTCACTCCTTGCCTTGCATTCAGCTCTTTGGTTGTTGGACTCTGAATTCTGAAATGGTGTGAGAACTTGTTGAGCTGAAACAATTGATTGTTTGAGCTTTAGCTTCAATCAAGAGGTGCAGAGCAAAATGGCTATCGGTGATTTGATCTCAAACTGGAATTTGGGTTCTTTTATCGGCTCAGGTACTGTTGCTTCACTACCTTATCCTAATGTTTTTGTTCTTATTAGTTTTTGGTATTTTGATTTTAGTTGCGTTTTGTGAATTGTAGCTTCTCAGTGGAATTAATGCATGCATAATTTTACTTTCGAATTTCCATTTTTGTGAGCTGAATGAATTTGTTTATTTGGTTGCATGTTGCTTCTCATATTATTCATACATGCAACTGAATGAATTTCTATGACATAGTATTAATAGTATACTTTTATAACATAGTACTAACATATAGGAGTGGGCACGGTTCGGTTTGACCAGTTTTTGCCTCAAATTGGAACCAAATCTGATACTATTTACTCGGTTCTATTCAGTCTGATTATAACCAAAAAATTTATAAAACTGTCTGGTTCGAGTGGAACCAATTTTGGTCCTGTTCGGTTTTGAACCATATAATTATTTTTTTAATACAAATTTCACCTGAAATTTTATTTTTTTGGCTTGAAAATTAACAAATTATCCAATTTCATACAAAAAGAAATATTGAGGCTAGAAAAGAGAGATGTTTTGAAATTGAATTTGGGTAAATATTAGTTATGAGATTAAAAATATAGCACTAGATATAAATAAATATTAAAATGATATATTTTTTAATTTGGCATGTTCTGTTTGTTGGGGTATAGAACTGGTTCAGTTCGATTTTTTAAATTGTGTTTGACTTTTTGGTCAACATGGTTTTTTGCGATTTTTTAAGGTCTGGTTTGGTTCTGTAGATCGGTTCTTTGGTTTCGATGCCAACCCCGATTAACATATTTTCAGTAACAAATCATGCTCTATATTTTGCTCTATATAAAGTTGTGCACTTGAAGTTTATGATATGCATAATAGTATTAACAGTGTACTTTTTTTCTTGTAAAAGTATTTCCTTTTGCCTTTGCGATTGTTTCTGGTGAAACTATAGACAATTGGAGGTGGTTTCTACAAAGGATATCGAATGTCTTGCTATGCTATTTTTTGGCTATTTTTTAGTTTTTTGGTATAAAATGTAACAATGTATTTCTATAACGTGGTATTAACAATATACTTCTATAACATGGTATTAACAATGTACTTTGGACTTACTAGGCTTGATTTGGGTTTTCTTGGTTGAGTTTTTTGTGTTGGGCAGGTTTTAAGTTAATCAATGGCAGTCATGTAATTTATAGAAACTTCAACACTCATTTTTTTATATAGTAAATGATTTATGGGTATGTTTCTAAAATGCATTCCATGTGGGGGTTTTTTTTTTAAATTATTATTTTTATTTAAATTTCATCCCCTATTTTGGGTATATTACTAAAGCTCCCTTTTTTTTTCTTTTTTCTTTTTTCTTTTTTCTTTTTTTAAATGATGGAGCTATAAAAAAAACACAAAAAAAAAAGGGAGGAGGTTGAGTCCTGGAGATCTTGATCCTCAATGGCCAGCAATCCCTAAATTCATGAAAAAAGGCCAAAATATGCTTTTTCAATTAGGTGACGGTTTTATCCCCACATTTACATTTATTTAAAGTATGTCCATACCAACAATTTATTTACAAGCCATTTATAGCAATTTATTCTATGAATTAATTGTGAGTTATGATGAATTTTACAGCATACGCAAATCAGGACCAAAAGTTCCTTAATTCTCATCATACAACTACATCACGACATGAAAATCCTTGATGATGATAATGATAATAATATAAGAGATGACAATTTCTCTGGAACTATATTTGTGAAAAGTAATTGGACCTGAAGATCCTTGACATATAAGCCAGGACCTGAAGCTCCTTGATAATGTAATAGTGTCGTACACATGAAATAGTAAATATGATGGCAAATGTATTATACATGAATAGTAACCATTTTGGGTGAACTGTTAGTACATACAAAAAGGGACCTGCAGTTTCTTACTTATAAAAGAGCAATTAAATGATAAACCAGAAGTTTCAACAATTTATTTTACATCCGTTTAATTATTGTCTTACTTTTATTATTGTATTTAATTTATTTCATTTCAGTATTTTATATGTATGAATCAGAAATTCAAAATATGACATGAAATTCAAACATCTCAGTTATGATGTTTAATTATGTGTAATCCAAAACCAGAAGTTTTGAGAACATTTACATAAATGTAATTCTGGAATTCAAAGCACTATTATTAATTCATTATTGAATCCACTTGTTCGAACCTGAAGCTTCGAATATATGAAACCAAATTTTTAAGGAATATCATGAACCTGAAGTTCATTGGTTATGTGCTTATTTTGAATTTAATTCATGGAACCTGAAGTTCTATATATATATATGAGATAAATTTGCAAGAACCCGAAGTTCCATAGACAAACGTACAAAATGTTTACATAGAATCTGAAGCTCAATATTGTTGATATCATGATTGGTAGGTAAGGAAGGATATTGCTTGGATAACAAGGAAGCCGACTTATTGTTGTCCAAAACTGTTGAGCTGCAAAGGTATCGACCATGAGCACTTTCATGCTCATAAACTGAGATGTGGCAAAGTGCAACATCATCAATGTGAACATATCCCATCCTTCCATGCCACTTGAACTTCTCTGTTTCCCCTGCTTAATTGATCAAACAAGTCGGCGCTTAACAATCGTATAAACGAAATTAGTAGTTAAACCAAGAATGAGTACCTTTAAGCAGGCCAAGTACGTCTGATGCAGTAGAACATAAATCTGGTGGCAGACTAGGTCCGATCACGAACTAGGGCAGAACAGTTACCAAATCAATCCCATTTTCTTTGCAGAAATCCCATGCCACCTTCTCAGCTAAAATTTTCGATAAAGGGTACCAAATCTTTTGTAATAGTTAGGTTAATCAGTCACATGGATTATATATAGTGTACATACCATAACCAAATATGGAGCTTAAGTAATGTTCTAGCATAGATCATTATAGTTCTGCATGGCTTTGCTTTGCAGCTGTTAGAATTAGATATAAAAAGGGCAGCATTCAAAGTTACTTTGAATTCACAAAGGCCATAGGATATTTGATGTGAATTGGGTGATGATCATGACAGAATTTAAACTTCAACAAGGACAGAATGCCACCTTAGTGTCTCACAGAGTTTGACAGAGCTCCACGACGACTCATCCAGTGGTATATTGGAGTCAAAATCCTCATCTGGCCTCACCCTTACAGCTGAAGAAGATGAGGTGAGAACCACACGCCTTAGAGACGGATTTTTCTTGCACAAATGGAGCACATTCAATGTACCCTCAAAAGCTGGTTCCAGGATTTCTTTCTGTGCACAGATGACAAATAATAGTTACAACAATACTCAATTTGTGTAGAGTGGTATTAATTTTAGGCCAATTGTGATCACTTGCCAGATATTTGTTATGCAATTTTGCTAGAATATGAACAAATGATAAGGTGGATCTTTCGTTTGAATATATGATCCACATTGAGAATTTGGCAACATGGCATCCCAAATAAGTGACAATAAAAAGTTACCCTTAATTTTAAGGACGTATAATATATTCAAACATGCCTTTGGATCAGATGAAGGTTTCAGTACAGGGGAAGCAGAGTGGAAGACAACATGGCACCCCAAGATTGCATCATCAAAGCTGCCTTCTTCCATTAAATCAGCCTTCACCAATCTGAGCCTTTCCCTAGCTCCTTCCAGCCTCCACAAATGCACCAATTTCTTCTGGTTTCCTTTGAATGCATGCATAAATTAGATGACCATAGTTTTATAAAACCATATATAAACTTGTCCCATAAAAAGAATACAATC